GCTGGAATCAGAAAGTCATTCATGCTATAAGTAAAATTTACCATTAAAAATGCTGTTAAATAGCAGAATATTAATTCCTTTATTAAATAATTAATATAGAATCAATATTTATTCATTTACATATATTTAAAGTATTCGAAACTGTTCAACATGGGTGGCCTATATATACAAGATTTTCGCTCGTCTTCATTTAAACAAATCAATATGAGGCACAGAATGCAATCGAATCGCATGAAGTAATCCCGACTCATACGCTATTTTGGCAAAACTGGATGAAGATGCAAACCATTGCTTGCTTTAAAATAATTTTTCTGCATCTTTCCGAGAGTTTATTTTTAAAAAACTCTTTCTATTCTTCTTCTATTTTTCATTTTAAAAAAGTTAATGAATAATATTAATTATAAACTCACGAGAAACAAATTCTTAATCCAGATTGCTAGGACATTTGATTGAATAAGCAAATGAATACTGCTTATTCAAAGAGTAAAAAGTTATTCTTGGGTGCATTTATATTTAATATGACTTTATTTGAGAAAAACTAAACTGGATACCCTGAGGTCGGAATTTCCAACACAATCCATTATATCAAAGTTATTTATTAATTTTTTTTTTTGCTATGATACAAACCACGTTGCCAGAAATTTGTAAGTTTAGTTATTGTTGTTTATTTACGATCATTCAAAAAACGATTTTTGATTTTCTTTCGATTTTTTTAATTCTTACCACAAATTGAAATTGAATTAAATAAATCTGAATTTTGCACAGATTTTAATTTTAATATTGGTACCTAAACTGTGTGTGGTTGATTGGTTAATTATAGATTAAGGAATTCCGGAACTGTTTTCAATACTACTATCATATGTTATCCAAGTATTTCTGACAAAAAATTGAACTACTATAAGAAATCTACAGACCTCATAAGCGTCTGTTTCTGTACTAATTTAAGGCCCGAGTTAATACATTAAATCTCTTATGAGTTGCCTGTGTAACAACAGTTAATTTTATTATAATTGTTCGTTTAGACATATCGCGAACTTAACAATCTATTGTGTTACCAAAGAAATTATCTTAGATATTCATAAGAGATACAGTATGTCTTTATAGCTAGTGTTCTTTTGACTACAGAAGACTCGTAGAGTATATATAGTATGAAAGCTGTAGTTTCTATATTTTACAAAACCTAAGGAGAAATTGTTATAAAGCACTTAAATGTATAATTGCAATTTAATGGAGTGGTTTCAAACAGTAATGAAGTACAAAACCAAGAATTATTACAATATTATAATAAATTAATATTTTGGATGGTCATTCAGCTGTTCGAGTATAGCCAAATACTCATCGCCAGTGGTCTTGGAATTATTTCTTATATTTAATTATTCGTAAATATTAAATTTTTAAATTTTAAATTTTTAAATTTTGAATTTTTTTTAAGACTGCAATTAACAAGGGTTGAACCCGCTTTAATAAATATTTTTATTTATTATTATTTTTTTAAGTTACTAAAACAGTGTACCGGAAATCCAAGAGAACTGCGAAATTTGAAAAAATTCATTATATATGTAGAATTAAATATTCCTGTTCAATTATCCATAAGCAACAATCGAAGAACCGACAAATGTATTTGAATAGGATATCAAAACAACAGTAATGTGTGAAGTCTGTTTTATTCGTCATAAAAGTAAACTTAATTTAGATATTTTTCTAAAATATGCTTTTGTCTGTTTCAAAGACATACCATAAAATTGTTAGAAATAAATTGCAACACTTTCTTGCCGCTAAAAAACAGATTACGCTAATATTTATACACTAATAGTTTGACGACTTGTTTCCTTTTCCGTACATATATATCTGAGGACGTCAATAAGTCTACCAATTCTATTAAATTATAGATATAAAGGGCGCTTCTCTACAATTAAATATTCCACAATATTCTAAAGCACTCTGCAGCGTTTTAAGATTTTCTTGAGTAATTCTTCTAATATTGAAATTTTAGGATAATGCAATAGTTTTCTAAGAAAGATTCT